GGGGGGGGGATGCGCCTCTCACCGTCTCCTCTGGCCCCTCTGTTTTGCAGGAGGTTTTCGGTGCAGAGATGTGCGAGATGTCACCTGGGGATTTCTGCCTCCGAGATGGTCATGAGGGCCAGGGATTTGGTATATCATTTAAACTGCTTCACTTGCACCACTTGCAACAAGATGCTGACCACCGGCGATCACTTTGGCATGAAGGACAATCTGGTGTACTGCCGCCTCCATTTCGAGACTCTCATCCAGGGGGAGTACCAGGTGCATTTCAATCACTCGGATGTAGCGGCTGGGAAGGGCCCGGCGTTGGGAGCGGGCTCTGCCAATACTTTGGGACTGCCTTATTACAACGGCGTGGGGACTGTCCAGAAGGGGAGACCCAGGAAAAGGAAGAGCCCGGGGCCTGGGGCAGACCTGGCAGCCTACAACGCAGGTAAGAGACCCCCATCTTCCCCCAGAACAATTCGAGTGGTTTGTTTCTGTTCCCTTCCAAAGGGGGATTTCCGTTTATTTTAGCTTAAACCGTTAATAATAGTTTAGCTGCAGCATAATTATTGAGATCAAGTGCTGTCAAACTGCAATTACAGAAGCTAATATGTTAGCATTTTTCACTTCAGCTGGAAATAAAATGTTTTGAAGCAAGGTCATCTGGTTAAGGAGGGGGAGAAGGGGGAGTGTAGCCTGAAATAAAATCTGGAAACCAGAGATTGTAAGTTAGCACTTCAGAGAGCTGTGAATTTTCTTTAGTAGCTACACTCTCGAAGTCTGCTGATGGGTGAATTATTGTGCCCTTGTCCTGGGCGCTTGCACCTCAGGGTTTTGGAAGGAAAGAGAGAGAAGGAGGAAGACGGTGGCGGTTTCCCAAGGGCCGGCAGCGGGAGGCGGCCGGGGGTGCGGGGCTGGGGCGCGGGTGCCCGCGGAGCCCGGGCGGGGGCTGCAGGTGGCTGCGGGCAGCTCCAGCCTTCCGACACCCTCGCTGCCCCGAGCCGCAGCCCCTGCCTCTCAACTGGGAGCAGCAGCAAGAAGAAAGGGAGCAAACCTGGCGGCAGCCCCAAGCCTGCAGTCTCTGCAGAAACTCTGCATGGAGCTGCAAACTTTCTGATGCGTTTCCTCGTTTAACCCCCCAGCACTGTAATTCTGCAGGCAAGGGAATTGGAGCGGTCTCCTACCCCCCCGTCCCCGCTCCCCCCTTCCCTCGCTCCGCTCTGGCCCTGAGCCGCCGACCCGAACGGCGGTGGTCGCCGGGTCTGCCAGCGCTGCTCCTCCTCTGCAGCAGGAAAAAGCGTTTGGACAAAAGAAAATTCTTAGATCTTGATTTTATTAGAGGAATTCAAGGCGGAGGTGGGGTTTGCTTCAGACTCGAGTTTCCCTAAGCTGAGGCTCAGCCGTCCCGTTAGACCCTGGAGGCGAAACTCGTTTGCCTCTTTCCTTCTGCTGCTTCAGTGGTGTCTGCGCCTCTCCGCCGTTCCGAGCATGTTTTCTTTTTTAATCTACCAAGTTCAGACACGTCCCATAGGGCGTAGATTTGCCTTTAACGCGTCTTTTTTCCCGGAGAGGACATCAGGTGAAGGCCAACTTTGCTGCGGTTTGTTGGCTGCCCCGGGCCGCTGCCGCTCCGCCGTGCGGCGGGGAGGGGCTGCGAGGGGCTCGGGCTGTGCTCCCATCTGCCGGGGCTCCGGGCGCGGGGGCGGCCGCGCCGCGAGGAGGAGGAGGAGGAGGAAGCTGCAGGCGTTTTGCGCCCAGGGACGGAGTAACGGGAGCGACGGAATCGAGTGGTTTGCACTGAAAATGGCAGGGAGAAAAGGCGCATCTCTAACTGGCAAACGCACCTCGGGAGCAAAATTGCCAGCTAGTATTAGTTTAACTAATTGCTGAATAATTTGGAAATAGCGCAAAAATCAGTAGCAGTCCCAGCGGTGAAGGTTGATGAAAGGTGTGTGTCGTGTTCTCGCGAGTAACAGCTGAGCTTTAAAACGTATATGAAATGTGCATCTTGCCCGTTTAAAAACGTCTCCTTTTCGGAGGGATTAGGTTGTAATTGTCCCTCCGCTGTCTCCCTGTGCAGGGCAGATGCTCGGATTCAAAGGACCTGTAAACCGAACCAGCGGCATCTGTCCTGGACGGGAGCGCAGCCTGAGAAAGTCTTACTGCTCCCTGACTTCCTAAATAAACCGCCTTTAACCGTATTTTTCAAAATTCGTTTTCAAAATAATTGCCCTCCGATTTTTTGGTCTTTTAATTTTTGTTTAGAGCCTGCAACTGAAGCTTAAGAGATCTTCCTTGGGGAACCTTTGGCTTCTTTGCTTAACCTATTTATCTACTTAACTATTTACTAAACCAATAATCGACTAATTTATACCATCAGAAGTACCATTGATCTTGGAAATCAGACCAGGTCGCCCGTCGATGTGAAATTTCACAAACTAGTAAATTATTGCAATGCCTTCGACTTTGTGCCTTTTAAAGGGAAACCGTTTAAAATCGTGATAGTTTCTATTTTTAATGGCACTTGTCATTTCCTTCTCAGAAATGCACAATATTGTCCTCTGAGGGGATCTGTTGCTGGGAATTTGCGTAGAATACTTTGTGTAAATAAACCTACAGCCAGAGGCGGTGGGGAAAGGGGGACCCGTAAACTTAGGCAGAGTTGAGCCTGGGATTATTTCGTAAATTGCAGCAAATATTCATCTGCAACGCGAATTGGACTGACTCTTTTTCCCCTACTTAAACGGGACTCGGTACGGGGATGATGGGTTTTAGATGTGGATAGAGCCTGACAAGTGGAAAATAGCTTAGAAGGATGCTGAAACTTCAAAAAGATTTCTTTCTCTTTCTTTCTTCTTTTTTTTTTTTTTTTTTAAAGTGTGTTCCTGTGATCATAATTTCTTCTCTCACTTGTTGGAATGGAGTTTGATGGGTTTTTTTAGGTCAGTAAATCAATGGCTGAAAGCTTGCTGAACACAGAAGCACCTGTAAAGAATTCTGAATACTCCCTTTGTGAATTAGACCCCAAGCCTCCCACAGCCTGCTCTAGTTTGTTCATACGTATCTAGTCTGTCTTTAAAATGAAGATCCTGAAATACCCCCGAACATGACAGGGGTATTGCCAAACTCGGGGCACCGCGAGCTGATAACATACCCATAACCCGTGCAAGCAGCAAAGATCCTAAGGAACATTTCCCTCCTTTGGCAGCGGGAAGATTCGCGGCGTTTGGGCGAGGCGGGGGCTCGGTACCTGGGCTGGGGGGCTCTGAGGCTCCGTGCCCCCCGGCACGGCTGGGCATTGCGCCGCGGCCCTCCCAGCGGGCTTTGTCCCAAGTTTTTTCTCCTGACAAAAAGGGGAAAAGCTTGGAAAGTTTTAGAAGAGCGAATTTCTCTTTCTCCCCTCATTTCCCCTGGGACTAAAAGCTCAGAATAAGCTTTCCGGCGACTACAGTGGCAGAGCGAGCAAACAGGAGTCGTAGCTTCAAAACGGACGTCTTGCAGCGATTTCCTAAGAAAAGTCAGAGCTCCCCCCTTCCCCCCCTCCTGCTCCTCTCCCCCCCGCCGTGGTCACCCTTCGGGCTCCCCGGCGCGGCGCATCTGGCCCCTCCCGGGGGCTGGGGTCGGGGCAGGGGCAGGGAGCCGGCGCTGCTCGCCCCCCGAAGGGCGAGCGGGGCCCCGGGAGCGCTCCCTCCCTCCCCGGGCAGGCGGCCCTGCCGCGGGGCCGGGGGTCCCTCGGGAAGGGCCCGGCG